GTGGCTCGACCGAATGCTGATAGCGGGAAGCGGGAGAGCCGCTGCAGTCGCCGCTTGGCTTCCCCGAGTCTCTTCATCCAGTCGGGCTGTGGCGGGGATGGCTGGTTGTCAATTGGCAGGTTCAGGGCGGTGGCGGTGGTCACCACCTTGAGACCTCCTATGTATGTATGTATGTATGTATGTATGTATGTATGTATGTATGTATGTATGTTGTTACAGGGTGGTTAACTTCGCCAGCGGCCCCCTTTCCCGGGGCAGTCCCTGCTCTCCCCTGCTAGAGGGGCACCCTAATCCGTCACCCCATCCGACTTCAGAATGTATTCGTTGGGTTCGGCAACTCACCACCAGCATCCAACCAAATCTAGCGGATCAACGGCGCATCAACTTAGTTCCTGGTCAGCTCGCAAGTTGATATTATCACGTCCTACACCGTCCATAAGATGGGGGGCCACCTCCCATTTCATCACTCCTCAAACACCCGAGGAGCCGGCAGGCGGATTTGAACCCGGGTCGACTGGGTCGACTGGGAGCAGAAGTCAGGCCTTAACCTCTGCCAGCCGCCTGCATATGTATGTATGTATGTATGTATGTATGTATGTATGTATGTATGTATGTATGTATGTATGTATGTATGTATGTATGTATGTATGTATGTATGTATGTATGTATATATGTATGTATGTATGTATGTATGTATGTATGTATGTATGTATGTATTTGTGTGTGTTTTCATCATGACCTGAGCCGGTTAGTCTGTATGTACAGATGTGATGGCGGGTACATCACATCCCCATTGCGGTCGACCTAGGGCCGTGGGGTACGGTACGACTTACATGACAGGCAGCAACCAGCAGGGATGAAGGGGGAGGTTATCGCGACGGGGGGGAGGGAGGGGGGAAAACACCCCACCATAACTTCCTCTTGATGCCCCCCGGCGGCGCGGAATGTTTGTTTGTCATGGCTGCGATCCCGGCGCGAACACGGATACGCATGTGTAGCTTTTAGCTTGTATTCCCCCCTCTCACTTCGCTTACTTAATAAAAACCTTACCGTACAGATGATAACGTCATAATGTACGAAATCCTGGACGGCGTGTACGTTAATTCAGGTGTATCTACGTTGGTGTCGGGAACACGGCGTATGCGGAAGATAGACAGATAGACAGATGGACACCTGTCTTTGGGGCTCTTAGGGCGGCAGGCTTTTGCTGGACTTGGCTCAGGCACCCTACGCCATTTCTGCATACATGATTATATATGCATACATGCGTACGAACCGCACAGGAGGGAACGCACACGAAGTCGGCTTTCCGCCTTTTGACATTGCCAACATCACCACCACAACCACCACAACCACCACAACCACCACAACCATCACCACCACAACCACCACCACCACCACCAACAACAACAACAACAACAACAACAACAACAACACTGTTTCGACACACACACACACACACACACACCACCACCACTAAATGCTATGATGTCAGGTGCCACTCGAGCGCCCTTTGCCTGTGAGCCTCAAGAACCTCCCTCCTTCCCGCCGCGAGCAAGAAGCAAACGACCCGGCCCTGCTCCGCAGATGGAAGGTGCCTGGTTAGATAGGTACGACAGCGGCCATGTAAATGCTGATTGTGCAGCGCCATCAGCCCTAAGTCCTCCAGCCATATCAGTGACACAGCCAAGAGCGGCGGCGGCAGGGGACCTCTCCCGTGCACACGTGCCGTCCCCCGGCCCGTCCCGTCCCGCCCGGTCCGACCGGATCAACGACTCCGCGATTCACCCCCTCCCCAACACACGTGCAGACGTGCTCCCTCCCCAACACACTCCGGTTCGGTGTACCCTCCTTTGTTTATGTAGGCATGTATGCATGCCATCGACGGATTTCACATTCGACCCAGTTTACTCGCTGTTGGGTTCATCCTCGCACCATCAAATGCGCCTCACACACACGCTGCAAGAGCATCTATTCACTTTTCGCATACCTGGCCCGCATCAGATGGGCGGATGACTAACGATGCGCGCGGCCCCGGCTGACCGGCAGGTGTGACGGCCCTAGTGGCCCCTCATCGTCCCGCAGCAGTCCGCTACAGACATAAGGAAAAAGACCCCAAAGCTACAAACGCAGTGTCTCAGCAGCTTTAGCTTACGTACACGAAACACCGTGAACACGCCGTCCGCGAATCTCCTGATGCCACCTGCACTCATGTGCGCTCTTGTACAGCACGAAAGACAAATCCATAAACCGTGGTTCCCTCTTTTACATGCACACGCACACACACATAACATGGACACGTGCATGTATGGCAAACATAGTTCAGTAGCACACAAAGCTAGACAGAGAGCCACAGATGCGACATCTGTACGATTATGCGACGACGTGCAGGGTGCGATGGGTGTGGACAGCTTGCAGGTTGGTGATGGTCGTCTAGTGCTTGTGTCGTATGTATACAGCAGGCCTGTTTGTATGTCTGCCCGTTCTTCAAAGGGGATGGGAAAACTGGAAGTGCGTAATCGAACTGGGTCAGTGATCAACGACGACGACGCACCAGCCTTGACAATATGGTAAAGCGACTGCCGGTGCACTGCTGATCTTGTAAATAATGGGCTGCGTGTCATGCAAATAAGCATATTTCAGGGTAGAGCGTAGGGCGCGGATACGTGGGCAAAGCTGCGGAATTATGCAAGCTGCCGAAGCAGGGCTGCCGAAGCTTAGCTGTTGTTTCCCCGTTTTCATGGCTCCGCCAAGCCGTTCGCCTTTCATCCCTGGTTTGTGTTGGATGGAAGGGGAGGGTGGAGTACGCGGTTACATCTCCCAGACCGCATGCACGCGCGGGTTCCCCCATTGGCAGGCTTTACAACCCGCTTCTGAAGATGTGAACGCAATCGCTGATGGAATTGGGCTGGACGGCCTGGGGAAGGGCTGTGCAATCGGGGTTTGGAATGGCTGGGATCAGGCAGTAACAAGGCCCGTGTGTCGATTTGGTGAGCCTGCAGGCTAGGAAGGAGGCAGCACGTCGAAGGGGATATTCCATCTGTATCGCTCATATGTGTGTATGGAGATTCTGAGCTCAGTTGACCCTTGGGGGAAAGCGAAGTACAAACACCGTGTGAGCAGACGAGGTTCACAAGTGATGCAAAGCGACAAACACCAAGGTTATGAGGAGTACAGGCAAGAGGGTTTGGCATGTTTCCTGGATGCGCATGCGCGCCATATTGCAGTCAACGGAGTCTGAAGTTAAAGGCTTATCCAACAGCTGGAACCTGCCGAAAAGGCATCTGGGTCAGTGAAAAAATTTCTCCATAAAAATTATAGGGACTACGCAGTTGCATGAGGGAAGTAATAGCTCCTCTAAAGCCGTGAAGCTATTTCCCATGTCTACCGATTGCCGGCATTTCCCCCAAAACAGTTTCGCTAAACATTATGACTGCCCCATGAACATCTGGCGATAAATAATATACAATTGAATCACACCCAGTTGCTTGAGCTTGATAGACCCCTTAGACCGCCGCCTACAATTGCCACTCGGGCAACAGTCCTCCATCGTTGCGATAATTTTGCAGCTTGTTAAGCATCGCTGAGCTGATTCATGCATTCGCTTCCCAGTACAAACTGCACTGCAAGCAAAGTGCAGGGTACGGCGATCAAAGAGGCCCGGGGTACGATCCACCGGTACCATTGCAATGTAAGTTGCGTCCCATCCTATAGCGTAATCGCATACAGTTGACGGTACACTGTTGGCCCTTGTCAAACCTTGGCCATATAGAGGTACAGGGCATATTTCTTTTTCACAGCACTGGTTCTTCTTGTCTCTAGTTTAAGGCGTGTAAGCAAGGGCTTCGTCCAGGACTATACTCGTAACTTTGGAGTATATCTTTGCTGACTTAGATCTGCGAGATCCGTCCTCTGTTGTTGACGATATAATGGCCCTGCACGCTCAGACTCGGTCGGTCCAGCAGCGCGCGTCCGGACGCGCTTTCTCGCAATCCTGCCGCCCTCCCAAGCGTGTCACCCTCAGCAAGTGTCGCGCTGCTACTATGGAGCGGGTGAGCTTTGTGGATGTCTCCTCAGAGTTTTGGGGGCGGCCCTTGCGGCAATGGATCCATCCTGTTACATTTCCTATTCTTTTTATCCAGGCTATTCAAGAAGAGCAGTACATCTCGCATACCCCGGTTTCGTTACTGCGTGCGGACATCGACACTGAGGACACGTGAGTTTTCGTTCACAGATCAATCAGCTGGTGCCAAGTCGTTGTTCTATGTTTCCAGGCCTCGCCTGCAAAGTCGACTTGTTAGCCTGGGGTTGGCTTTGCTGCAGTTTTGGTGTCGTCGACGCATTCTAGTTCAGCTGCTCCCGAAGCGTGTTATTGTGGTTGGGTTAATCCTTTGGCGTCCTCTTTCCCCTCCAGCATGCGATCCAAGTTCGAGAAGGTTATCCGCAATGCCCAGGACTCTATTTGCAAGGCAATCGAGGAGGTTGACGGCAAGAAGTTCCACCAGGACGCTTGGACTCGTGCCGACGGCGGTGGCGGTATCAGCCGCGTCCTGCAGGATGGGAACGTGTGGGAGAAGGCTGGCGTCAACGTCTCCGTAGTATACGGCTCGATGCCTCCAGAGGCCTACAGGTTAGAACTGTCGGGAGTCGGTTGGATCCTAACCCCCTGCACGTCCCCCAGAGTCATTCGACCTCGACATACAGTATGTCGCTTAAGACATGGTATGGCATATGGGTGCTCTTGCTTCTCGGTAACGAACGACCTCGGCGTGTCCCGCCATACTGCGGCTGCTCCCTGCTTGCCTTGTGCCACGGCGGCTTCCGTAAGAAGGATTTTGCTTGCCGGTCCACTTAACACTCGATCCGCATCTCTTCCAGCCAATTGCAAGCACATTTGGAACTACGTGGACAACCCCTTGCGCTTATCTAGCAGCGTTTTCCCTCTTGTTGCGGCTTCACGCCTGCTGAATTCATGCCGTAATAACTAATGCTTGATCCAGGGCTGCAACTGGCAACACCGAGCTGCTGAAGAACAAGGGTGACGTCGGACGTGTGCCCTTCTTCGCCGCCGGTATCTCGTCGGTGATGCACCCGCGCAACCCTCACTGCCCCACCATGCACTTTAACTACCGTTACTTCGAGACGGAAGAGTGGAACGGTATTCCCGGGCAGTGGTGGTTCGGCGGCGGAACTGATATTACTCCCAGCTACATTGACGAGGAGGACATGAAGCATTTCCACGGCACCTACAAGCAGGTGTGCAATGTTTTCGTGCTGTAATCCATATTGTGGCCGCCGTGTAATTCTGCGACAATGGTATGGTCCTAGCACCAGTACGGTCGAGGCTGAATGAGTCCTCTGCCGTTTCTGAGGTGGAGGGCGGGGTCTGGGAGGTGCGACATAAATGTATGTGCGGCTCATGCAGAAGCTTTAATGGACCCCTCGAGCCTTGCATTATCGATGTAGTCCGCTGCTCCCTGCAGGTTTGCGACCGCCACGATCCTGCCTACTACGAGAAGTTCAAGAAGTGGTGCGACGAGTACTTCCTGATCAAGCACCGCGGCGAGCGCCGTGGCTTGGGTGGCATTTTCTTTGATGACCTAAACGACAAGTGAGTGCAAGAATAATTCTTCAGACTAAGCTGCGCGTCCACTCACGCGGCTACTAGGGTGCTGTACAGATTCACAACGGGTATGGCTGTTAACGCTCCATAGGATGGGAGCTTGTTCATGGTAAAGCCTAGGGAGTTGCTATAATCGCCCCAATTTGCCTAAGGAATTAATAGCTGCCCTCCGTTCTTGTAAAGCGCACTGAATTCCATACACTGCCTATTTTGCGCTCGCTGAACCAATATTCCGCCGCGCTGTTTTCCTTGTTTAGGGACCCTGAGACCATCCTGAAGTTCTCAACGGATGCCGTGAACCACGTCGCTGAGGCTTATTGCCCAATCGTCCGCAAGCACATGAACGACCCCTTCACGCAAGAGGAGAAGACATGGCAGCAGGCGAGTTAAGAGAGGGGTTGTTGGGGCAGTTTGTGATAACGGACCGCTGTAGCATTCATACGAGAGGTGGCTTGTTATGAATTGATCGATTTAGATTTAGATTTCCCCGCCGTACCGTATTCTCTTCAGAGCCCTAATCCCGGAACCTTGCGGCAACCCCTACAGATCCGTCGCGGCCGGTACGTGGAATTCAACCTGGTATACGACCGTGGCACAACCTTTGGTCTCAAGACTGGCGGACGCATCGAATCGATCCTCATGAGCATGCCCCTGACGGCTTCGTGGATGTATGACCATCGGCCGGCCCCTGGCAGCCGCGAAGCCGATCTCCTAGACGCTTGCCGTAACCCCCGCAATTGGGTGTGAAGGGGGCTGTCCATTGTGTACCAGCATGTGGAGTGATGTGACATGGGGAAATTTGATGTTGGGGATGAGTGGGGCGTGTAGTACGTCGAGCAATTCGTGTTGACAGGACTTGTTATTGTTATGAAGGTAGGCATGTGGGCTGTTCGGGTGCATGCCAGGGGAATTAAGCGCTATAAACACATCGGTGGACCTAATGCAGCTGTTCCGCATCAGGCTATTCTGCACGGGATCTGGGTGATGGGTGGACGCGCTTAGCCGATTTTCCATTCCAGTGCCATTGACTTACATATGTCGGCTTTAATTGACCTGCTTGGACTGGTGTGGTGCCTGTGATTTTACGGACCCGGCGGCTCTTCAGTGCTTTATGGGACTGTTTTTGCGAACTGGCAAGGTGGGACTTCAGTTTGCTCAAATCCTGCTCAAACTAGGAATAAACGAATCTGCACCGCCACAGTAGTTGAGGCACAATGCTGCAACCGCGTGCTTTGGGGTGCAGGGTCTGCGCGCATACAGTTGCGCGTTAAAGAGTGGTAATCCATGAAAACTATTTATTTCCGTGTGCTTATGTGGCGAGCAGAAGGCCGCGCTATTTCTGTAACAAATACGTGAAATTCCATTCGTTGTTGATCCCGCGCACGAAATTCTAGGTAGCTATGGGCGAATTCGAGGGCAAAAGCTAACACTTTGGATCTACTGCGTTTACACAAACCCTTGCAACCTGATACAACAAGAAATGCGAGCTTGTTGTTGCTGTCTTGTACACAAGGATATTGCAAAAAGAATTTACATGCTGCGTACACGTGCGCACGTCAGAATCACATCCACGTCCGCCAGCGAAAGCTGAGCTAAGTCCACTACGTAATCACGACGTGTATCCGGCGCCTGGTCTTTCATAACAATTCCGTGTCACCCTTTGAATACTTGATACATAAAAGTCCGTGGTTAAATTGTTCTATCTTTTCAGCTTCAATAGTTCCACTTTGGCCCGCTCGTCAAGATGTTGTCCGCCGCCTTGAGAGGCGCGCCTGCTGCCATAGGTAGCCAACCATGTCCAGTGCAGCCCAGGGTGCCGCCTGTGCTGCAGTCGCAGCCCGTGTCGCGGGCGTTGGCTTCAAGTTACTCTTCGCTTGTGGACGAGCCTATTTTTGAGTCTCCGAGGGTGCAAGGGTTGGGCATTCCGCTGCAATCTTGCCCAAGTCTTCCTATGGAAGGGGACGTGGATGTGGATGCTAGCAGCTCTGGCGATGAGCTTGAAGGAGATGTATTTGGAGCAGGCGGAGATTTGGACGATGGGCCTTCGGCCAGTTCTAGCCAGACGCAACATGCCCACCATTTAAGTCTCAGTACGCCAAATGCTGCTGGTCCCATGGCATCTTCTGTTGCAACCTCGACGGTGCCCATTTTGCTGAGTGTTGGACCGTCCGGAGAGTGAGTTCTGCGGTGAATTTCTGCTAAGGCACATGGATGGGATCCCTTTTTCAGAGATATAGTGATTCGTTGTGGCGCGTTATACAGTAAGTTGCGGGTTATCGTATCATTTGCCCTCCATCACCAGGCAAATTGCTAACCAAGTGAAGGGGCAAGACCTGTTGAAGGTTTTGGTCTTTGGCCGTTACCTACTCACATTTGCGTTTGTTCTGTTCCGGGCTTGTATCCACAGATTCACAATCGGCAGAGCAGCGATGCCCACGAAGGGCAGCATGAGCGACTTGCAAGAGGAGCTGGAGCAGCTGACGTCGTTCAACGCAGGGCGCGGCTCTCGTCCCATCGGCATCCCGCGGACAGGGTTGTTCGCACCCTCTACGTACCACCCCGCGACGGGCGCCTTCATGCAGGGCTTTGTGCCCCCCCACGAGCTTGCTGCTGCGTCCGTTCAAGAGTCTGACCCCATGGTAGGTTCTCCGTTCTTGCCGTGACGCATAACGAACCCATCCAAGGCACAACAACTCGAATTCAAATCCTGTTAGCGGATTCCGTACATCGTCCATGCAGCCTGAGTCCCGCCGGGCGCTCCTTTGCCGGGTCCCAAGCGCACATATACATACGATGTGTGCTTCCACGTCCGAATGCCATGTTAGCGGATGGCCGCACAAGGTTGGCACTACGGGAACCGACCTCCTACGGATCATGCAATGCAAGGCCTTGCCAGACCCCGGGCCACTTTGCACGCTATGCATATGCCACTTTGACCTTGCAGGCTGCCCACAGCCACCGCCATAAGAGCATCGCTGAGCGGTTGCGTACGGCGGTGTTTGAGCAGACTGGTCATATGAGCCTCACGACAGCCGCGGCCTTCCTGCAGCCCGGGGTCTTGCCAGCCCAAGGGGCAGTAAAGCCACATGAGCATCCTTAGAAGACCACTTTACCGCTGCTGGGCATGGTCTTGCATTACAACGGCAGTCCATTAGGAGCCAGAAAGCGACGCAATGCGGCGCTTGATCACGGGGTGGACGTGAGTTCATGATGGAGCAGGAGGTGTAAAGTTCCGTGGAGTAGTGTTCCTTGGGAGGGTGAGGACTGGTTGTGACAGGTAGGCTGTATGGGTCAAATCCCTTGGTGCTCCCGTATTTTGAACAGGGGGCAGCTGGAGAATAATTGCTTCATTGGGCTTCGGGCGCAACACGCTTGCAAACCTCTTGCTATGTCGGTGCGCGTAGGAATTTTTGGTCATTTGTATTTTTGCGAGGGTGATGGGTGGCTAGGTGGAAGGCTTCTCGGCGCCTGCCGGTCATTAGCCCCTCTCTTGCATTGAACTTTTAGCTGGTTTGTAGTAGGTAAAGCGTATGTGCGATGTTTCTTCGGCTACCTCCACGGATAGCAGCAAAGTAGTACCGAGAGTTTTGAGTATTTTACGTGTATGCATGTTTGTTTACAAGCGGAAGATGTGTGTGTTATGTGAAGTGATTGCTACCAGCGGAAAAGCGACGTATCTGTTGCATCGGCGCAGCTTGGAGAGGATGTACCATTCGGGTCGACCGGGTCCGCGCCTTGTACATTACATTACATTCGAACCAGGGTGCTGGCGTGCAAGGAGTCAAGTGTGATTCGACCGCCATCCATCCACGACCTTCAAGCGTGTTTCCTTGTTTTTGTTTTTTATCGATATGAAAACCATGTGCGCAAGCGTGGATGAGGGTGATTGCCTTATGGGGTTATGGCTTGTGGGCAAAGGGCCTTGAGAGGACAACTAGGGGCATTCGGCTGGTTGGTGCTGGTGGTGCGGCAGGCGGGTTGGGGTGGGTTTGTGGCCGTCATGTTGGGTCTGGTTCTTGACGGCTGCCTGGCTGACTACCTCACTGACTGCCTGACGGGACGGGACGCAGCCGCTGCAAGGCCCTTGCGGTGACCTCCTCGCGGAGGGAGAAGGGGTGAGAGTTTGAGAGTGAGAAAATAAGTGCAGTGAATAGCGGTGTGCCGTTTGCCTGCGAGCTGAATGGCTAGCGGTGCCGCGCTTAATCCTTAGCGGGTAGCTCGAGTTGACTCATGCCGTATACCAAATTCGTGCCCGGGCCGCGAGTCGCTGCCATGCTCCCGGAGCGCAACATTTCCAATGACGACTCTCGACGCTACCATCTTGCGGAGAACTTACTTGTGTGCGAAACATCGACCTTGGTTGTGTGAAGTGATGCTCGACTAGAAGGATTATTTTGGGCGTGACATCTCGGGATGATCTGCCTGACTGGCTCTGTTTCTTTTGGGTGCTTTCCTGTTGTCCGCAACTGGCCGCTACCGATAATTGCACTCTCTGTTTTATTCCCTGACTCGCTGGCGGCCTATCCGCACTTAACTCTGGTGGCTGTACCCGGCAGCTCTGGTCTATGTTGAGGGACCCGTGTGGGCACCAAAACCAGACCACAGTATAGCCGCTCGGGATCAATTTCGATTGTGCTTTTGTACCGACCTAGGAATCAGTTCAAAGTGATATGTATCTTCCATGCCCCCAAACCCCTTGGCTTGCGTATGGTATGAACCCAATTGACTCCAACAACAATCCAACAACAGCTGGGATTCGTGGATGTTTAAAAGCGGGGAAGTGCAGTCATGTACTTTTGGATGTGAGACGGTGTTTAGATTCTTCTGCCCTCGTGAGCGTCGACAGGTGAGAGCCCGGAGTGGTTGGGCTCTGGTGTCGCTGTGTTCTTTCCTGCCTGGCTTCCTGTCGGCAGTCGATTGCGTCTGCGGGTCGTCTAACCGGTGATTGGAGCCTACGAGGGTTAATGGCGGTAGAAAATTGAGATGGTGTCGCGGGCGCTCGGGGTTGCCGCACGCATGTTAAGGATTTAGCGCCACGCAGCTCAGACATGACCTCCAGCTTGGGGCCAGTCGTGTGCGGAGGCATGGCTTTTGCAATGGTCTTGTTGGTGGCTAGATCGGCTGCGCTGGACGCAGCAAGCGGAGGGGAGAATGGGTACCAATGTCCATTTTGCTATAGCCATTGTGTGATTAGAGAACAACGATGTGCTACACGAGCAGTGTGGATCCTGCGCGTTAAGACATCCCCCGTCAGTTGCACGGCGCACGCTTGGATAAGCCTGGCTTTTGAGGATAGGGCATGGCCCCTGGCTAGGTTTACGATAACGTTGCCATGGTGCATTACGGGAAGACGGGTGGGATTGAATAACTGCGGTGCAGACGTTTACTGTGGTGCTGCGTGCCACATACTTATGCTGCTGATGGCAGGTGGGAAGGCTGTGCGTCCTCAAGTTTGCGATGCGAGTAGATACAGAGAGGTGTGCTGCTTGGGACCTCTTGAGCGCACCTTCTGCAGAATACTCTCGAGACGGAAGTGTTTTACGTTTGCAACCGTGTAAAAAGGCCGCGATGCACGGGTCCCTACCCGGGGTTGTCAACCCCGGGTACTGCTACCCATTCCTTTTCGTTAATAAACCGTGCCGTGGCGCAGCGAGGGGTTCCTGGTGCCGGGCGGGCGGCATGAAGGTAACATTGGTAAAAACCTTTACTTCTGCATACTCGCCCACAGTTGCCCGTCCTCTTACAGGGGATACAGGGATTAAGACAGCGGAACCTTTTGTCAGCGGCGCTCCATGGAGACACACCGTCCACTGCTCCCGACCCTCAACGGAAAGCAGGCGAACAGACTGGAGTCAGCGCTCTGGATATATGCCTGTATCCGCAGACGGTCATTTCGCACTTCTGCTTGCTACATTTGCTACATGTGCAAAATGCGGTGCTGCCGAGCATGAGCGTGAGGAGGGTGGCGTATGAACCCTCGGCAAGACGTTTCACCCGTAGGGTCCCGCCGAACCTTTTCACCCAGAACTCACTACTAGGTTGTCGGTCCTAATCCGGCTTCCTTCCGCCTTACGGTACCCTGCATTGAATGCAACAAACATCTCTGCTGCTCGATGATGCGCAGCGAAATCCTGCCCCAATATGTCATGTCTCCACATGCCGGCAGCAAATACCACTATTGTGCGCAGCTGAGGGACCCGTCGCCGTTCTAATGACCTCCTAGTGCACAGCTTGCCACCCGTTGTATCGCATACAGCCGCAGCGCATGAATGCTCTTGCTCTCCGAATACCTATCCATCCCTCCACGTCGCACTCAGCATACTGTACGGATGCGGCCCACTAGGGTCAACAAGTACGGCCATGCACGCAAAAACCACGGGATTAGAATAACACACACCCTGCTCACACGCAGCCAAAGCAACAGGACTCTGGCCATCCGCGGTTGAGGTGCATGTAATAGAATCGTGCGCCGTCACATGCACTCCATCCAGCCAAAGCAACACTTTATGACCAACTAACAACCAAGCGTCGATGATGATGACAGTATCAAAAAGAGAGCTGACCGAGCAACCCGCTATAAGCAAAAGATGTCAGAAAACGGTGACCGGCGGTGGGTGGGTCGCATGCGAAGGGAGTACGTAGGGAGTACAGCAATGCATGCGACGATGAATGGATGAAAAGGCGCAAGGGCACCCGGAAAAGCGGCAGCAACAAAGTCACGCCCTGGTACCCTTGTTGGTGCCGCTGGGCTCTTTTACGAGATGCCTCCACCGCTACCACCACCTGCTGTTCGCCCACTGTGGGATCCGTTGACGTCGACCGCAGTGGACACCCTCGCCGCCCAACAGCAGCAGCGGGGGGGGGGGAGCACAGCCAAGAGACCCCGGTGGACGGGTCGCACCACTTCCGCATCAATGAGGACTCTCTTAGGAGGGAAGGCCGTCGTCGGTCCGTACGCTATTCGGTTATTTGAGGCGGCAACAGCGAACGATGGATCGCTGTGGTGCCACCACCACCCGGCACCCCCCACCCCCACCCCCCACCACCCTCCACCACCACCCGGCAACCCCCCACCCCCACCCGGCACCCAGGGGATGCAGGTCACCAATGAGGAGGGATGCTGCGATGGAGCGTTGGCCCCATGTATTATTCGGTACGTGAGCTGTTGAAGACTTTAATAATACAATAAAACAGCAGCAGCAGCAGCAGCAGCAGCAGGCAGTTTCGCATGACCTGACGCCACCGGCGGATCATGGCCACCGGGCGGCGGGCTCCGCTCCCCCACAACCCCTATCTAGCCCATAAAAGCAATAACCGCAAACCAGATTAAGAAAAGTTGGGAACGTGGGGACGAGTTGGCCACTCCATCCTCTCCACCTCCTCCTGGAGCTGAGGTGCCTTCTCACTGGGGGTTTCATTTCCCCGGAAGACAGACGCCGCTGCGGAATCGTTCCCCCGTACTGCCGTACAATGCCCACAAATATGGCTTGCTGTACATGCACAGCTGTCAAAGTACAGTCGTGAAGAGATTGCAAGCAGTGTGCAATCCCCTATCGGAGTACAAAATTAGCTTCTTTGCACCCATGCTGTCACCTCCGCATCCACATCCATCCATCCATCCATCCATCCATCCATTCATCCATTCATCCATCCATCCATCCATGGAAAGAGGTTCTTGGTGTGCACTACCATACTACGACACGTGGTGCGTGTGTATATGTGTGTACATGTGTGTACATGTCAAGGAGTTGAGCGAAAAGGCGACCGATGGGTCAGGTGGCCTGGAAGGCCCTAAAATGTTTTTAAACCTCCGATTCCGACACCGATGATCTTCGCGGGGACCCCACCCCCATGCCCCTTTCTTCTCAAGTGTTTTCACCCCGGGACATCCGTACGGCACACCCCTGCATACCGTACTACATGCATGCAAATGCTGGCGGCATTGTCGTACACCCTTTTGGGATAGAAAGCGCACGCCGTCTTGAAAGAGAACCGGAAGGCAGTGCTAGACCACCCCCCCAGGTAAAGCGCAACGAACGCGCGGGTGCACATACACACATACACACAAACACATGTACGACCCCCCACACGCACACGCGCGCATGCACGACCCCCCGCGCGCCCATACTGTACGTGTCGTCGCATACATACATACGTACGGCAACATGGCTACTGTACTGCCGCCGCCGCCGCTGCCGCCTCCGTGGCCGCTGCCGCGGCTCCTCTGAAGTGCAGCTGGAAGACCGCCATGACGTCACGAGGACGACGAGGAGGACGACGACGAGGACGACACAAGACAAAATGTCGGGAGGCGGCTGTTCGTGTGGCCCCTCCTCGTGTCGGCCCTGAACGCTGTGTTGGAGCGGGGCCCGCATCCCGAGGAGAAGAAGGAACAGACGGTGTTGCTGCTGCTGCTGCTGCTGCTGCTGCGTGGTAATGCGCCGTACTGCTATTGCTGTCGTAGCATTCTTGTGTGGCGGACAGCGCAAAGTGGAAGCGCAACAAAATCTGCAATCTCAATTCGTACACAAACGTCAGGCGCCGCCCAGTGTGGATCCAAAGCAAAACAGAGCTGAAGATGTCGTCTGGACGGCAGATTTTACCCTTTGCAGAGCGACGCCGTGGGATGCCTAGCCAGGACAGGACATATAGCTGCGCTGATGATGATGATGCGGGTCAAGAGCTGATTATGAAGCAGCTCACAAAGAAGATGCGGTGTACGGCCCGCGATTCGCCTTTTTCGTGTTCAGCAGCACGCCAACATGGACGCCAGCGATCCAGCCGTACCGCCCGCCAACTAACCAACGAACAAACCAACAAACCGACCAACCAGCAATTGAATTGTCGGTCCGTCAGTGCATACATATGTAATAAGTCCGTACGTAAAGCCGTACGACCGCCATACACTCCCCGTGCGCACTTCCCCAAGCCTCGAGTCACAGCAACGCGTTACAGCATAGCTGATACACACACTAAAAACACACTAAAACGCATACGATTAGGCGGTTTTCTCCTCCTACCTCTGGGAGCCCCCAATGGGCCGTGGCTCTACGGGGCCGTGGTGTTTTACCACCCCCCCCGGCCCCCGGCCCCCGCCTTCCGGTGTCAGCTCCGATCGCCGACTCCCCTGCGGCCGGCAGCGGCGGACACAACCTCCCCCTCCCTCCCTCCCTCCCCCCATTATCATGTACAGCTCCGGTACTGCATAAAACACACTTGTTGTTAGGTTTTAGGGGTTTATAAAACAAGGTTGCTGCTGCGTTGTCGGTGCTGATGCTGCTGCTGATGCTGCGTTTGGCGGCGGCATCAAGAGGCGTCCGCGGGGTGGGGCGGCAGGGGCAGCAAGGACGGCTCCTCCGCCTCCACTGCTGCTGCCGGTAGCAGTGATGGTGAGGGTAGTGGGGCTTGGGATGGAGGAGGGGGCGGAGGCGAGGTTCCGGAGCGCCCCGCGGACGATGCGGGCCCTGGACCCCCTGCGGCCCCAGGCTGCGTGCGTGTATGTGTATGCGGCTGTACGGCGGCCTGTACGGCCTCCCGGGGGGTCTCGATGCTGCCACTGGCTGCCCCGGGAGGGATGGTTTGGACGGAGGCCAAGTCCCGGGAAACTGGGGGATGGGTGGGTGGGGAACCGGGTATGAGGGTGAGGGTGAGGGTGAGGGTGAGGGTGAGGGTGAGGGTGAGGGTGAGGGTGAGGGTGAGGGTGAGGGTGAGGGTGAGGGTGAGGGTGAGGGTGAGGGTGAGGGTGAGGGTGAGGGTGAGGGTGAATGTGAATATGAGGGTGAGTGGAAAAATAAAAAATGATGGTGCGAAAAATGAAAATCTAAACTGTAATAACGTACTGCGCCTCAGTGGACTTGAGGAGTATGAGAGGGGGCGATGGAGGGGGAGATCAAAACCCTAAGCCCCTTATTGCATCTTCCGGCGGCTCCCTCTCAGAGCCTCTTAAACAGGCCCTTCCCCCCTCCCTCCCTCCCTGCCCCCCTCCCTCCCCCCCTGTCTATCCCCTCGCCTCACCGCTGTTCATGATGGTGGTTGTGGTGGGGGTGACGGAGGTGGTTGCCAGCGCGCCACCCGACGTCAGGAAGGACCCCGTGGCGCACCCCCCTCCCCCGGGCCCGGCTTGCCCCGCCACCGCCTCGGGCGGCCCGTCCAGGGAGGGACTTAGAACCAGCGGATTCAGATTGGAAGTCTGCCGCCTGTACGACGCATATACGGAGATGTATGGCACAAAAAACAGGCAATACATGGAGTCCTTTATAACATGAACAAAAGATGTCACGATGTCAAATATGAGGAAATTATCGGTCAACTCCTGAAAAGGTTGCTTCCATGGGGGGGGGGGAGGGTACCTCCCCCTCCTCGTCCAGGGGGCCACTTCACGGACCTCGCTTCGTACTGCGTGTATCTATATCTCTTCTCTGGTAGTGTAGAAAGAAAGGGTTTGGGGGTTTGGGGGTTTGGGGGTTTCCAAACCCAGATCAGCCGCCCCTGGCGGCCCGACAACCCGGGCCCCACCCATACACACATACACACACCAGTCGGCCGGCAGCTGACCCCTTGAAGTCCAGCATGCCCCCACCCCACCCCACCGCACCCCACCCCACCGGGTGCTCCCTTCCCCCACCCCACCGCACCCCACCGCACGCGCACGAGCCCTGCGTGTACGACACACATACATACATACATACACACACACACGCCAGACCCACCCGGGGCCGTTGCCGTGCGCTCTGGATCTCACGACGGGAGGTGGGGACATGAGGCCCGCCTCTCGAATCGCGGGGAATGCTGCTGCTGCTACTGCTGACACGGAGGATGAAAGGGTCGTGGGGGTGGAAGGGGGGAGCCGGGGCGGCGCGGCCGAGTGCTCGCCCTCCCTGGTTGGGGTGGAGGGTTGAGGAAGTCGAGGTGCGGGTGATCGTACGGCAGGGGGCCGGCGGAAGCCATTTCCGTACACATAATGCATACACAGGCAAGGGTGCAGGAGATCTCTTTCCGCGGGACCTAGCCCCTTTCGGACCTCTCCTATCCGTCCCCGTGGTAATGTACGGCAAACATATCTAGATACACCATCACACACAATTATTGATACACACATACATATGGACGTGTATATGTACGTGTTACTCATCAGGAAATTTAAACAGCGAGGGCTCCTATTTTGTTTAAGAAATTTATTTATTGTTATACTACCCCCACGCTAAGGATCATATTGTTATTTTGGCAATTACCAACAGATTATGTAATTAATTTAAATTATGTAAATAATTTAATGATGATTTTGATGTGGGGCGGGAAGAGGAACACCCCCTCAAAACCGCGCCGCATGCACACAAGTACAAGATCGGAAACCGTACGACATGTTATGCACTGGCTCCTCTCCAATTAACGACAGGGGATGTTAAGCTTCAACGTAAGGTCATGTCGTACACTCACACGTTCTCTGGTATCTTCGTCGAGGCCGGCGGCGGGGAGGTGATGTGGGTTATGTCGATAGCCTCGTGGCGCGGACAGGGCCCCCGGGGCCACACCTGCGTGCCGGTAACCCAGTACGTGCACATGACCCCCTGTCGGCGGGGAAGAGGGGTGGGGAGAGGGAGGACGTTAGGAAGAGATGAAAAGTGGAGTACGGAACTGCCGTACATGCAAAAATGCCACAAGAGACACCAAGATATCAATTTTGCTGAAGAGGGGGTCACGGGGGGGGGGGGTGTAGCAGGCCGCAGCGGATGAAAGCTGCCTGTCTGTCTGTCTGTCTGTCTGTCTGTCACGTTTATTTATTCCCACCACTGCAATACCCTTCGCTGTCCCCTCCATTTTCTCACAAACCCAAGCCCCCTTTACCCCCTCCCCCTTACCCC